GGTTACTGGCGAGGAATGCGAAACCTTTCCTCTGACCAGACAATCAACGAGAGAAAAAAATGTTGCTTTTTGAAATGTCTTTTTGGAATATTTATGCACCATGTTGTTTACACTGCAGAGACTTTAGAGACTTCATTCAGAAAATCCATTAGTGTTTACATGCCCTTGGGCACACCACTAGTCTGGTGTATACGGTTGATGTCTGTAATACTATGCTGTTTATAAACATATTGAACAAGAGTCCCACAGGTTTTTTTGTACATTCACCAAATGATATCAACCTTACAACTGATATGCATTATGTTGTAGGTTTCTTAATATTGGTTGTTTATATCACCTTTAAATGATCTTCTATAAATGAATAGCACACATTGTCCAAAATTAATGCTACTCCACTCTTGACCAAATCTGTTGTTACATTTTGTCATGTTGTCATCAAATTCTTATCAGTATTGAGTCTTTTAACAAGAACATGTCATTCGGAGACACTGCTTTCTTTGACAGCAAAGCGTAGCGTACTGTAGAATGCATGGTTCCAGATTATGCCAGGGTGGAGATTTATAAAAGAAAATGCCCTTTGCCCAATACATTATATGGTTTCCATGGTAACAATCAATGAGATTCTGAGAAGCACGACCTTGCTGGCAAGACTGGCAGACTCAGGTACAATTTGTTCTTAGGTCAAATGCTTCATAACTTATAATGTTTTTTATGTTATGTAATGACTACATAAATCAATTAGATATGTTGAACTCACACCTGGATCAGTGCTTTATATGCAAAGCTAAACCACCACAACTTGTCAGCAAGTGCCTAATGAACAGTTTAGAGAGAGGTAAAATTGTTGTTGAGATTGTGTACATTACATGTAATGTACTGTGAGTGTGAGTAACACTGAATTCAATTGAAAGGTATACAAGCTTACAAATGCAGGAAAGACACCAGGAAATACATGTAGTATATAATATGTTTACTATATTTCAAAACCCAAACTTTCCTTATTACTCCTGAGTTGTATGTGTTTTTGCACATATTTAGGTTATTAGTATGCCATGGTAGGCATAGCCTTAACAGTGTTGACGGAATTTTGTCTTTAGTTAATATTCACCTCACATATTTATACCAGAGCCTGATTAACCTATAGCTACATGACATTGGGACTTCTGATTTGACAACCTCTGCTGGCCATATGAAAATGTCAGTTATAATATACGTAGTTACTCCGGGTGAACATCACCATGCATAGATTATGTAAAATTGTGGGAGTCATTTGCATGATATTTATTATTAATTAATAAGTGAATGATGAAAAGTGCAAATGGAACACAGTGCCAAAGGATATGACCTTCACCCACAATATACATTTGTATAATACCTTAAGGCCACACCAAGTAAATTTTATGGATGACGTCCGCGCGCGCATTGATTTTGGCCTGTTCCTAGAAAAAAAAACAAGACATTCCGCTTCCTGTAACTATGACCAAAGAGTCGCGACAGTGCCGCAAATCGTCAGATTGACGTGAAACCTGTTACAGGACAGGACGACAACTGCTGTTCCACCTGTTTTGATGATGAATAAAAGACTTCTTGCTTGTTATACTGTGTCACCTCATTCAATTTGTGTCCTAACATTTGTCGTCTCCTAGTAGTATATTTCTAATGTAAGCATCTTGTTTTTTAGGGCCCTTCTTGTTTTTTTTCGCCCTCTCGTATTATATTTAGGGTCTCCAAAGGACGTCATCCATAAAATCTACTTGGTGTGGCCTAATGGGTGGAGAAATTGAAGACCATCAATTAGAATAGACTACGCTGATTTTTAGCCTGATCAATGAGACAACTGTGAAGCACTTAATATCACGTGGAGGTATGAGATCTGCAAACTCTTGTTGCACAGTTAGTTGTAGAATAAGGAATCATGCATTTTTACCTTACAAAATCTACATGAATGCGTCTACACCTATTCTAAACACAATCTTCTCATTAGTACAACATCCCTCATCTTTATGCATCATCATGTTATAATCATGTTCATAATAATTAAGGTCGTTTGAAAGGTCGTTGCTTATTCCCCAACTGAAGAATGAATGCTCACTCAGTCATCAGTATCAGCATGTTTGATATTCCTGGTACAGTCACTGTATGTTCTTCAATATTCCATAAACAGAAATTCTGTGAAACAATTATTGTTTCACAGAATTTCTGTTTATGCCCACTTTGGTAAAAGCGTGCACTGTCAGCTCATTATCCAGTCTCTCTGCACCGTGTAGGGACTGGAGCATCACCTTGGGAACAGGAAAGTTCCTCTGTAAGCAGATAATTGCTGGGTAGGGATCATCATTATCCAATCAGTGCATGCCAGGGCCATGGTTATAATGTGTGCGGTGTGTGGGAGTCGGCTGATGGATCACCTGTGCAATTGTAGCAGGGAAAAAGGATTGGCATATTGAAGCGTCTTCTTTTAAAATCTCCCTACTGTTTTAAAGTGGAACCAGCATATTTATGTATACATGTAGCTGATTTGAATAGAACATAATATCATTCTGTTTAAGGTAGGATCTGAGAGATTACTGTTACCACGCCAATCATACATGTATCTTCCTGCCAATCATGAGGAAAGCTTGTAGCTATGTAGCCCAGTCCTTTGAATCCATCCTTCACAGCAGGCTCCTTCAGCTTTGAAATGGAACATTCCAGCTAGACCACAGCCATGTTGGTTTGAGTTATGGTGCATTGTACATAATCTGTGTGCATGGGAGTAAGTGCTTAAGAGCCACTCAGAGGTTGAGTCCACATCTGAAGGTTTTTCAAGTGACATTCATTTGAAAGGTTACGAGCACTTGGAGCTGCTTGCTTTCTAGCAGAAAGGTAGGATACGACGTATGCTAGTATTACACGATTGTATGTTCCATCATTCTACCTGATGATGATGATGGTTCTACATGCATACAGCATGTCTGTGTACATGTACATGCATAGATTTGTAACATTATTGGTCTCGTCTTTTATGCAGCTTGTACTTTATGTACAAAACTCGTGTGTTTACCCGGTTGTGCAAGCGAATAATATTCTAAATCATGCTTTAGTAACTGCCATATACTTGCACATGAATGATCTATGTGTAATGATTTCATAAAGCTCTAAGCATTGGGAATATGCAGTGGTTTACAACCATAAGCTACAAGAGTTCAGAGATCTCATGTCTTCATGCAATTTTGTAGTAGTGTATTTTTTCCATTCATTTAGTAAGGTTGTTAGTATAATGTAGACTGAATTGGTGTTATTCTCTACTTGAATTCTTGAATTACATGTACATACATGTACATTGTATGTGGGAAAGTCCTATCCTTTGGCAGAATGTTGTTTTATTATTTCATCATACTTGCTTATGCAAATGACTTTCACATTTACATAATATATTGCATAATCATATGATGTTTTGCAGGCAGTCCAAACATACTGTGTCTGTGAGAAGCCTGGATTTTTCACAGTTTTCCTTTGTCTAACACTGGGGAACCTGTCACCAAAAAAATATTTCATTCACTACCATGGAGACTTTTACAATTTGTATCTTCAAATACAGTTGTCAAGGTGTAGAATTCAGGGCTTTAACATTTTAACTTATAATCACAGTTACCCAAAAAATTTTGATGCACCAGCAAAAATCTAGGTGTAACATTATTGCATAAGCATCATGTTTTTTTTTGTACGTCGTCGATTGGAAGTATCATAAAGCAAGAAAGCAAAATAATATTATTATACAGTGTCATGATATGAGTTAAGCTTTGAAGTCCATATGATGTAGACATCATAATGGGTGTATGTTTTGATGGAAGAGCTGGGTGCTCCAGGATCTACATGTCTATAAAACATCTCTAGGTGCACGGCATAATTTTGGAGCAGTCTGAAGGGCTGCAGATGAGAAGCTGATGTTACAATGAGAGCTGGCTTGCTCAGCTGGGGCTGGCTGGGAGACAGAGATAAGATGACTGGCCAGGTGCATAATTATTAGAGTCTGACAGAAAACTGAATCATCTTTAATGAGTTTAACTTGTCATGTTCAACTTCAAGCCTGATTTCCTAGTAAAAAGAAGGCTTCTGTGGCTTGTCAATGTTTTATACAGGTGCAATTGCAGGTTTGGAACAAAATTAGCTTTGATCATCTATCTAACTGCCAGGCAGATTCCTGGGGGTGACATTATTTATAGTGAATTCAGGTGGAAGAAATATAAGGTCATAGGCGAGGCCATTAACTGAGTACTAGTACAATATAAGTCCCTACTGCACCCGTGAAATGCCACACAAAAGACCACTGAACTCCTCACATTCCAGCATTCATATCAAGAACAAAAGGTTATAAATGGTTTATCAAACAACATTTGTGCCACCAGAATGACATTTGTCCCTGCAGATATGTGTAATTAGGCTTTCACTTCAGCCTTGACTTCAGTAAACATGTGCATGTAATATGTACATTTGATGACTTTATATCATTTGTCATTGATAAAGATAAAAACGTCAGTGAGATTATGTCTGTTTGATGAAGTACAGCTTTGCAAGAGCAGTATTGCAAGAAAATAAATGAGGTTTTCATAGGTGATACCATGCATACATGTATGCATGGTATCACCTGATATATATACAATCATGTACACCTCATTTATTTTCTTCGATTCTTCAAGACTTCTATTCCATCCTCCCTTGTGGAATACACCATTAACCATGTATGTATATTGTAATATACATTGTACATACATTGTACATAGTGAGTTACTGGTTATTACAGCAGTCCCTGCGTACATGAATGTACAGTGTCCTCTACAAATTAATGTGGAAACCTAGCAAGTTTCCATTGAGACTATTGAGAGTCTTACATTATCGAAGAAAGCTATTCTAGCATTTTCTTCTATGCATTGATTATGCAAAAGAAGCCATATTGAATGCGATACATGTAAATAGATTAGTACAATTATAGTCTGGCTCACTTCCTGTTTCTTTTGCAGATCTGAGATTTGAATGAGGAGGTAACAGCAGAGAGACAACCATGGGTAAACAGAACAGCAAGCTCAGGCCGGAGGTTCTGGAAGACTTGAAAAACCAGACCGAGTTTAACGAGCACGAGCTGCAGGAGTGGTACAAGGGGTTTCTCAAGGACTGCCCCAGCGGGGTGCTCACTGTCGAGGAGTTCAAGAAGATCTATGGAAATTTCTTCCCCTACGGAGATGCCTCCAAGTTTGCGGAGCACGTCTTCCGCACATTTGACGTGAATGGAGACGGTACAATAGACTTCAGGGAGTTCATCTGTGCGCTGAGTGTGACATCGAGAGGGCAGCTGGAACAGAAACTGAAGTGGGCCTTCAGTATGTACGACCTGGATGGTAATGGCTACATCTCCAAACAGGAGATGTTGGAAATAGTACAGGTTAGTCTGGGGCTGTAATGCATGGGTAGTGAGTATGTCTTCCAAATCCTGTAAGGGTTTTGACTGGGGTACATCTATAAGTTAGGTGGCCAGCTTGATCATTTCTAGAATCTTGAAAGAATATGGGTTCACTAGAAGCAAGAATTCAGAGACCTCAGATCTCAGTGAAATATTCAGAGATTCAGAGCTTAAATCTTATTTTGTCTTGTTCATTATGAAAATAAGACCTGAAGGCTTAGAACGGAGCCAGGAGGGTTATGGATGCATACATGTAACTGTTATCAAACCCAATGTGCTATTACTATGAAAGCCAATTAACCTGAAATTTGGTATGAAGGTAAGCAGATCTACATAATTATATATATAGATCTTTGATGGGGAAATCCTGACTAACACAGGGACGAGCACTTCTTTTCAAAAATGGTGCTGCCAATTGTTGCCCCTCCATACATGTATGCCCCCATTATCAGCAATACAAATACATGTATGCTACTAATTAGTAGTGTTAAGGCCTTTGTATTACTCAATATACATGTACGTCGATTTACGTCAGTGACCAGAGTGTTAGTCTCAGTGGGAGATGGTGCCAATTAGCACCATTCTGGTCAGAACAAGGCAGATAGCATCACAACATAATGAATTTGAAAAAAAAACTGTTACCTGGATGCTTTCTCTTGCTATTTATAAAATCTAAATAATTTAAAAGAATCATTTATATGTCAGAAATGAGGAAATTAAGCCATTCAAGCCAATAACCCCATGAATTCAAGATACAACTCCTTAAAGACAGACTCAACTCTGCACCCTTCTCCACTTTATAGGCAATCTACAAGATGGTTGGCACGGTCATGAAGATGCCAGATGATGAGTCCACCCCAGAGAAGCGAACAGACAAGATTTTCCGCCAGATGGACAAAAACAATGATGGGAAACTCTCTCTACAGGTCAGTGGCTCTGCTTCAAGCTGCTGTCAGAGCATTTAAGTCTCTGTTGCTGTTGTCACATTCTGTTGTTACCCATAAATTACCATTGCAAGCCATGCTAAGTGTATCGCTGTCATCATCTCTTGTAACATTACATTGTACATGACATTGTATTTTCAGGTGTACAAGATACATGTAGATGTTGCCATATAATGTATATGTCAAAGTAGACACTTTGATCTGTTAAGAATTGGCAATTGTACTTAGCAGAGATACTGATTGAACTCTCTGTCAACTGAATTTCCGATTAGACTATTCTGCCAGTTGCAGTCTCCACCCTGACATGTATTTATTTTTATACAGTATACTGTACATGCATGACCATGTCTCATGCAAATCTAACCTCATTTGTAAAGATTTATGGTTTCCTTTGTTGTGTTGGTTATGTCATAGCTGCATGGCATGTCTCCCTTCCACAGCTGCATGGCATGTCTCCACAGGCTGGCTGGACCAGTGTGACAACAGTTATTTTTAGTCAGATACAGGCACCACTAATGAGATTGCATAGTAACTGTTGTGGTTACTGTACCTGATCTTCACATCAAGCAATCGGTGAGACCGGTGTTGAAAAAAAAATAACCAGGACTTAATAAATGACATGACATTACGTAGACATCACCTACAGTGTACATTACATGTACATGTAATCTACATTCATTTGTATGAATTATAGGCAAGTATATCTGAGAAAAACTTTGATGTAATGTTGGTACTAGCCTGAGTGTTTAAACCTAAGCAAGTGGTATGTACAAATGTGGATGTGTTGATCAAACGTTTTTAATGATATATTTTTGCTGCAGTGTAATCACTTTGAGCTTATTCATTTGCTTCTTAGCCATCCCTGCTGAGTTGTATATCTCAACTTCAATCATGTTTGTGCCATTGTCATTGGCCTCTTCACCTTTACTATCATCTTTAATATACAGCTTTTGTTACTTCAAGGAGTTCAACCCGTACACAGTACATTCTAAACTTTGAGTTCTGACGTCTATCATTTCAGGAGTTCATCGAAGGAGCTAAGAGTGACCCTCCATTGTGAGGCTACTGCAGTGTGACCCCAGTGGTGGCATGTGATTGCAGGGTGGTTTTGCTAAATTTTGTTTGACGAGAAGTTTTGGACAGCCTTTTTTTGTTTTGTTTTATTGCTGCAGGAGTTTGTAGAGGGGGCCAAGGCCGACCCCTCCATCGTCAGACTGCTACAGTGCGACCCAAGTGGCGGCGGACAGTTAACGTAATTTGGTTTGTTTCGTTTCCTTTCTATCATCATTCCATGTTGGACAACAGAGCAGAGACCACCATTGTGTCTGAAAAAACATCTATCTTTGACTGGTAACCTGTATGCAAGTTTGTACTGTACAGTTTCAGTCTATCAAGTCCCGTACAGTTTTCTACATTCAAGAGTATTCTCCATGTTCTTCACATGACAGAACATTAATTATATGACACATTGTGTGCATCATTTAACATTATAATATACAATATACTTTTAACAATAGACATCTTTCTTCTGATCTGTACTTGTATATACACAGGAGACATATCCAGCTGTACTATTCAAGGACCAAGTCTTATAATAACAGTAACAGTTACTGTTGTAAGCTTTAGAGCTCTTTACTGGGGACCATGGAGATGTAGGACTTGATAGTAACTAATAGAAGCATACAATGTAGTATGGAACAAAATGAAATACTACGTGGAAAGGGGTTTTTGCATGTAATGTACATGTATACTAGTAGTCTGTAGTCAACTTAGTGGGGTGCACTTACTTCAAACTGTTTGCAACAATGTTCATAATTTGTTGCACATTTTTAGCACTGATTCTCCTGGGGTGTAGGAATATCGAGTTATTCTCTCTAAATGTGGCTTCTGGTTATGGTTGTATCCACATCAAGACTGATGACCTGCTAGAGATGTTATAACTATGAAGGCTTCAAAATTTAGTTGCAGGTGTCCACCGAGCTTACACTTGGCATACAGAAGGTTTTATTTTTTATGAGAACCTACATCACTGTATTTGTACGTTGTATTAGTAAAACACTACAGTTTCTCCGTCCATTTCCCTGTTTCTAAACACTCCAAGCAGATCACAATATTCTGCATCACAGGCATGGCACCGTATACTTAACGTCACATGTAGTCTATGTATGTTGTTTACTGTATTTTTCTTCTAATGGGTGCACTCTCATTCTCAAATAAACATACACTTTTTTTAGACATAATAACTTTCAAAGGTGGGGGGGAGGTGCATAAACTTGGTCTTAAGAGCATTCAGACTGTTATTTTTCCATAAGAATGATTGGCTGCACACCACACTCGTTAGTACTACCAGTATATAAGTTCCTAATCATCATCATCATCAATCCAGGATTTCAAGTTCCTAATACAAGCTTTAAAATGTATACAACAATTATTAATATAATCTGTAGCATTTCAACTCAGGCAGAATCCAGATTTTGCAATGTATGCTTAATATACATGTATATATTATTATTAAATCAAGTTATCAAACCAACCTGAACTGAAAAGAATCATTTTGGATATAAATTAAAAGTTTATACAATCATGTAGATTCATTATGTACTTCCATTTTTTTAACAGAAATGTGTGAAAATACTGATTTTCTAATTTACCAGATTTGCTACCTGATTGTATTCATTTTTAAAAGTGTGGACTAACATTGTGTACATGTAGCAGCATTGAAACATTCATTGGAATTAATAGCACATATCATATCAAGCTTTATATATACATACATTTGTATGTCCAACAAATCATTTTAAATGTTAGTCACGGATGACACTGTGTTAATGGAGGATGTTTTGTTGCAATTATCTCTAGAAGCAACCTGCCAGCTCTAGCTTTGAAAATAACAGTGAGTAATTTTAGTAAAAGGATGATTGCAGGTACATGTATTTGGACCTGATTAACTTACCTGATATTGACCACAACATACATGGCTTTTGAATTTGAAACTGTTAACACTTAGAGCTTCAAGGTAGTTTTCGTATGACGATTTACAGTGTAACTCAAATACATTAGGTTTGGCAGGAAGAAGACATTATCAGACCACTACATGTTCATGTACAGTAACTATGTAGTATCCTCTCACCATACATGTACAATACATTTTCCAACCAAGCTCATCTTTGGTAGGATTAGTAGTGTTATATAGTTCAGTCTCAGAATACATTGTGTTTTGGTGTATCGTGTAGAATAGTTGTTTTCTTCATAAATCAAAGGTGTTTCTATGAATGAGAAATGGAGTTGTTTTAGTAATGGCTTAAAACATAAGAAGGAAAGCTGTAAAATTTATGTTTGAAATCCTTTTATTATTCCTGGACAACTGAAATTAAACCTTTTTATGGCCTGTATTGTAAGAAGACTGTTTTAATGGTTGTGTTAATCCTAAAAAAATTATATTTTGAAATATTGCAAAACTACAATGTGTAAAAAATGACTTGGAGTTATGTTCTACACCAAGTGTCAAAGGTACATGTCATGTACTCTGCCTGCAATTAGCTTGGATTGCAGCACCTAGCAAACTGTTGTTACTAAATCATACACGAGTTACTACAAAGCTTGCCTAGCCATCTTGTGCTGCTGGTACTTAACTGTGACATGCTTGTTGTCAATGATTTTGTCCAGTAAGTGAGGTGATGTACATGTAATTGTCATGTGACAAGAGGTGACCAGTAGATCCAATATGTACACAATGCATTCTAACCAGTCAATAAGACCATTATTATCTAGAGGATGACTGTGGGAGATTTCCTTCATTCATACCATTAGATTGTGAACTTTTTTTTAGAAAATGTATCATGTAGTAAATTATAATCCAGCCACACACCAATTTTTGAAGGAAGAATTTCACAAGCTAAGGCTACTTGCTTCAATGCTTATATGCTTATTTGATTAAAGAACAGTTTTCCAAAATGAAGATATTGTATGTCCTGTCAGTGACTGTGTATATTAAGGACTATTTCAGAGTCATGCAGGCAAGATTATCAAGAAGAAACATGACCAGTCCATTCATTATTTGTAACAGTTGTGGTCATTTTGTAGTCTTATTGCTCATAGGCATTACAAGATACTATCATGAATGTACAAGATGTGAAAAGACAATTAAGACTTTGATCTTAAAACATGAAAAATTGACTGGACAATGGTTATCAGATTATCATGCTTTAAAACATCAATCTTCCTGTCAACCACCTGTTAGAGCAGGTGTAATATAATACTGTAACCTCTATGTACTACTACCAGTAATGCAGTGGCAATCACAAGTCATTATTTACAATGTATATCTATACATGTATGTAGTTGTGTGACTGTGTTTTGACATTAGGTGCAAGATGGTCCATTAGCTGGTGATTGTCCTGATTCCTAATTTAAAAGTACATTGTAACTTTGCACTTGCATAAACTACAATAAATTAGTTTTCAACGGCACAAGTACTAGTCCGAATGATTTCTCCTGTGTGGCAGTTTGATTTGGTTTCAGTACGTAGTCAGCTGATGACTAGGAAAGCCTCGTGGATGCCAGGTTGCCTAAGACTTCTCCTCCATGTGGTTTTGGGTCTCTTTTTAATAATGTTTACCTTTGTCTTCGAAAGAGGCTGCCATAAGGCTATTTTTTAACTTGACCTTCATCTCTCCAACAGTATCTTGCCTACTAAAAACCATGATGAACATCCATAAATGGCTTCAAGAGTTATGTCACGTACATCCACAGTCACTCCACCACAGCCAACCCAAAAACATAACCTTCTGGTAAAGGTAATACTAATAACCGCACAAGAAAAACACAAGAAAATTGTCCAATACTACCGATAATTGTCAGTAGCTGTTTATTGCACATAGGTAAGGGGTCAGCCTGTTACTACCCTCTGACATGCAACTTGTTAGTTTTCCATATTCTATTATGTAATGTTTCTCATACTAAAAAAGAACAAAGTATTACCTTCATGTAGTTGATACAATGTAGGTTTGAATAATATATAATGTGTGTGAATAAACATAAGCATGCAGTCATAAGCTTTTTTATGTGGCAGTACCAAGAGGAACTAGAAAGGCCAATATTTGCTTTGGAGCAAATACAGCGATGGGTTCACCACATTTTACGACATGGCAGGGAAAGAATGGGAAACACAAGGGAAAACAATGATTTACATTGATATAACTATAATATGAAGTAAAATACAACTAAAACAACAGTTGGATAGCTATTCCCTACTTTATTGGTTAGGATTTTTAATTGCATAATGCAAACTGTTGATTTTCAAAATAAAAAAAA